ACTTGTGTTAAACAGGTAATGCGCGGGCTAATTTTGCGATCGGGTTCTACTATTTCAGTCAAAATTGGAAGCTCCACCCATATTGAGAAAAAACGAACTATCCATTGGTTTTAAATATAACTAATAGTGCCTTCATTTTAAAGATTGTTTTTTTATAGTGACCAATCATATGGCTTAATTTAAAACCACATGATTGTATACGCTGGACCCTGTTTTCCGGATATTTTGTTTAAGTGCTGTGATAAAAGTTCGTGCTTTTAAATGAATATTATTTGGGCATTTTAAGTAATTCATCTTGGCCATTTCTTTCATTGAGGTAATCAGTGTTAGCGTTCAAATGAATTGAATTAAAGTTATTCGGACTCACATCTTCTTTTCCGTGTGTGTTTATGTTTAAACACATAGGACATACTAAATAATACATATGTTTTAATTACCTCGGGATACAAGAGGATAATGTGGTACGGATACTCGCAGCCGCCTACACCCTTTTGGTAAGTAAAGCTTTAAATAGATTTTGAAAAAAATATAGTCGCATGTGTATAGGAGCGGTCTTTTGTGTAGATTATATTAAAATTCTTCATTTTAAAATATCACCCCATGATGTTAACCTTAGCAATTCACCCCACCTAATTTTTCCATATTTTGCGATAAACGTCGAAATTATCATCGCTCTATAACCCACCCCCTTTAAACACGCATGTAAAACAAAATAACCTCCTAATGTATAAATGTGATCAAACAAATAGTATGGACATAAGTATCTCTGGTACCTATATTATCAAACATACTCTCTTAGATACTAAAATATCGATCTATATTTTAAGCGTGACACTTCTATTTATGTGGGTTCTTTAAACTCGTTTAAATTATTTTTAAAGACTTGATGTTTTATATATACGGACATAATTTAATACAGTTAAATACGCACGACTTCGAGACTTTCCCGCATCCCCAGGCATACTTATCGCATTTATCTAACCTTCATATAATATACATATGGAAATAATATAATATAGTAACGTTTATAATAAATACACACAACTACGTGACTTTTCCCTCACCCCCCCCCGTCCGCACACTTATCGCATTATGTGTACAACTCACCATCTACCCACACCATCACCTACATTTTAAGTACACACATTATTTCGTCAACTTTCGTTTACATCTTTTTTTTACAATTCGTTTTTACCTTATGTAATAGACAAACGGAAATTTAATACAGTTTTAAGTTCATAAAAAATACACACAAATCCGCGACTTTCCCGCACCCACACGCATACTTATCGCATTACGTAATACCCATACATCGACCCGTACACTTACACTCACAGCTTTACAGCTACCAAAACACTATCAATTACATCCTTTTTTTTGTTTTCACTATTTCCAACATTTACAATCTCACCTGAATATTCACCAAGCCTTACACCTAAATCTACAAGTACGTTTACACATTGGCTATAGTTAATTTAAATGATGCACTACACTTTTTTAAGTTCATCTAGGGTCTTTAAAATACCGCTGAGGATTGTATGATTGTTCACATTAAATCTTTATTAAAACATTAAACAGGCATGGTCTGCCGAAAAGAGAAACGTTTTGTCTATATAGGCGCGTTGATTTTTGAGCGCATAGCGAAGTATTGTTTCTACTGTAGAAATAAAACCAAGGGAAATAATCGAAAAATCAACTTGTCGGCTGTAATGAGCTTGAGGTTTTTTAAAGTTTATTGTCCGTATAATTTTTGCCATACGTTAAAACTAATACCGATCGATAAAGGATTTAATTACGCTCATTTTGATGTACGTTAAACGCATGAAACTTTAACGATAAGGTCTTTAGGATGTTTTAAAAAATCGAAAGTCTAAGAAGCATGCTTCTCTCTATTTCAATGCTTCCTCATAAGCTACTATGTAAAAATTCTGCCACCTAACCTACTAATCTATGTGTATATATATATATATATATATATATATATATATATATATATATATATAAATTCTAAGGATCATTAAAATGAAACGGCCTACGTTAAAGATTATTCAATTCAATGAAACCTAGAAGGGTTGTAGCTTGCGAAACTTGTAGAGCTGTATATATTTCATCTCGTCATTTTGCAACATTATATGTCTGACTAATGTTCATATAAAATTTTGTGTATTACTCTTCCAAAAACTATCAAACAATAAGTACAATTAGTTAATGTCATTTGACTGGCACGATATCTTTGTCAGCTCCCTAGCATAATACAATTAATAATGTCCAATTGCATATCTACTCAATAGTAAAACCTTCAAAAAATTCCAACATATTAAAATTTAAAAAAAAGCCCATTAATTTTGAAAAAAAAATAGTTTATATAAGTTTATATAAGAAAATCAATAATGAATACATATTAAAAGATGAGATAGACCTAAGAGAAATTTAATGTTAAGGAAGAAAAAAACGTTAAAACATGCAAACTTTCTTTTAGAATTTAGATTTTAGGCACAATAATTCGCGGAAAACTCATCGCTTGAATTATAATACCGTGTGTTTCTGACCGTGTGACAAAGATTTATACGTATTCCAAATAAAGACAAATTTAGTAACTACAACAAACATTTATATTTTCTAACTTGTTGACCTAATAACTTGTCGCTTATTCCCAAAGCTCGAGTTTCACATTCAACATGTCGCTTATTCCCAAAACTTAAGTTTAATGAATATTTTCTGCTAAGAATCAGTGGGATTGTAGAGAATTATTATCCGTTTTTTTTGTAAAATTTTAACGTCAATGAATATAGCCGTTAATAAAAAAAATGATTAGATAATTGTTTAGTATATTATTTAAAAAAAATATGGGCAGACCACAAGTTTGTTCCTTTTATGCAACTTTAATTCCGGAGAAAAAAATAACAGAAAACAACGAGCTTTTGATATATTGGACAACATATTTCACATTGTTTACACCAAAAACTAAGAAGATATTGCATTTAATAAAATAACACGACCTAAACTTTACCCTTTTGCTTGTACATAAATGAAATTAAATTAGCCAGTAACACAAATCATAATGTTTAAAATACAAGGCTATAACGATAACAATCGCCACTCATCCGAGAACGCGTGTCAATATGCAACTACTTAAAGTAGACATTAATTCATACACGCATGCAAACATTATCTGTACAATGTAAAATGCTTAGTCTATTTTGTTCAGTGAATGTTGCATACGTTAGGAAGGGCTGTTTTCTCTGTAGGTGTATTTCAATATTTCTCTCTTAAAATCATTAAAATAGAATAAGCCAACTAGTTTAGATTAGCGCCAATTATGTCTACAATAAGGGACATAACCAATAAAATATATTTCAATGTCTAAATATCTTGATAAGTTCCCTTGAAATTTTCTTTACATTTCAAGCAAAATTAATTAGGGCAATAGTTATTACGAACTGACCCGCGCAGTAAGCATACGCCGCTATTTAGTTGTTTTATTTGCTACTTCTCAGTAATTCATAATTTGTGAATTTGACACTACCAGCTCTTCCCCCCCCCCCCCCTTCCCGGTTGCCGTTGGCTTAGTCATTGTACATTACTAGTTAAGTCGACTCTAAAAGATATTTAACTAATTACACATTCATTACTCATCAATCAGCCTTCAAACGCTAATACTTTAATTAAATCGTCAAACGTAGCCTTTTATTTTAAACCATAAACTTAAAGAATCTCTTTCAATATTGTTATAAGGCAAAGTGTGTTTATTACAAATGCATTTATTATAAATGCATGCTTATCATCTACGTACATTAGTTTCTATGGCCCGTATCGCCTGCTGCCGCCCGCTTACAATACGCATAGAAAAGTTAAATTTGTTTCACAAGCATAAGCCTAAAAATCCTAATTTTTAACTAAACAGGAAGTTGGATAGTTTCAGCATCTTCTTCCGGTTTACTAATTTCAATGGCGATTTTAAAATATACATAATATTAGTCTCTTGCCATCCCGAAATATAAGACTCATCTGTCCCATTTTTAGTCGATTTAAAATTATAAATAATATAAAAACATGCCTAGAAATATCTAGGCATGTATTTAATGAATTATATATCTTAAACGTAACCAAATTGAAATTCAATTGTTCAATTCGATGCGTAGTTGTTTAGACGAAAATGAAGTTGACTACCCAAAATGACCTATTTAGGATTTTCTATTACATTTTTATTTTATTTTATACTGTACATCTACCGAATATATTATGTTCTATTTTGTAGAACATCAGCCTAAAATTTATTCAGAAATTTAATCTTTTTGAATCAATGCTATAAAAGTTCCAGATCCAGAGAACTTGAAAATAATTTGTTGAGTTTAAGGCTACATTCAGTGTTTCTTCCAGACTTTTTTCTCCGGGGGGGGGGGGGGGAGGCACTTAAAATTTTCGGGGGGGGGTCAACATTTTTCGGGGGGCGGACACTAGTAAAAGTGTATGTTCATTATATAAAATCCATCTCGTTCTGGGGGGGGGGGGGGGGGCGGTAGACTTTCTTCCAATCTTAAGTAAAGTCCGAAAAAAAAAACAGACAGACAGGATTTTATAACTATATTAATTGTAACTACGCCGTGCATGATTTTTAAATTAATTAATGGGCCTCTCAAATACCTTTGAGACTTTTCTCGCTCGCGTGCATTTCATTTAAAACAAAAACGCATATTTTGTGAAAGGGTTCACTTATTCATACAGAGATATGCCCCATTTAGTGGGACGTCAAGAGGGGTGTTTTGTGGAATTTATTTTTTATACAAAGAAACCATGTATCAATTTACTTTCTCGAAATTCTTCAGCTAATGACGTCATCGACTGCGGCATGGGAAAACTCCGGAACAATAAATTTAAAAAAACTTGGTGCGCAAAAGCAAACAGAGAAAACAGAAACTCACAAAGCGCTGGTTTACACGAGCTTTGAACAGACCCATCCTGCTAGGATACTGATAACAGTGTAACCATCAGCACCTAAACATGTTGCCCATTTCGGTTGACTGCCTCAAGTTTTGTAACAGGGTGTAAAGGCTACACATTTATGTGTACATTGAGCATACAAGCAAGCAGTTTTATGGCTCCTACACATTTTTCAAGGATGCTCAACATTTTTGCTAGTGTATGCTTAGCATTAGTCTCGAAAGTTGAAGGTAAATATGTCTAGAGAGTCAAGACACATAGACATCTAGAAGGCTAGAATCTAGCTCTAGATCTAGAATTTAGATATCTAAGTCTGTGTAGACATCCGGGTAATCTCACGATATAGCGTCGGAAATTATCTGATAATGTGTGTTGAGTTTCGGTAAAATTCGTTACTGTAAACCATAGTTTATTTAACCGTTGAAATAAAAATTAATGTTTTAACTTAATTTAAAGTTTAATTGACAGAGTATTAACACAATTACTACATCTAAATATTATTAATAAACTCGAGTGTAGTAATTGATGTTTTTAAAGAAACCTGGGGAAAAAAAACTTGCAGAAGATTTGCGACAACTAGATTTAGATCTTGTAAAATAAGACGATTAGATTTACCTAAGTTAAAAGTAGTAAGAAGAACTAGAACAATGTTTAGTGCAGCAATAATTAGCACATACACTTAAAATAATTAGAAATACAAACTAATTAGCAAAACAGTATACAAAATGCAACTAAAATCAGTCCAAGCACATTTTTAAACATTATGTATTTTAAATAATATGGCAAATAAATGATGGTTTACAGTATTTCCTGTGGTTTCCGGAACGGCTCAGCAGACTACGCCATGGTTTTACTGGTTTTTGTTACTGCTGTAAAATTCTGGAATAATAACCAACGCTATATCGTGATTTTTCACTAGTTTTCTGTTACTAACAGATTAAGGAATTTTATACTCAGCCGAAGAGTTGGGCTATATTAGTGAAACATTTGTCTAAAAGTTAACATTGTGTAGACATCATACGTTCACAAGCTCCACATTTTCCCCCACTGCAGCTCAAGGTTCACAAATGGGAGTGGAATTTCTGGTACAGTTCCCATACATGCCTGAAGGCCAACCCATCCTAATGATGTACTCAACCATGATGAATAAATTCAATGTTTACGTCACGGCTCCTACGTGGCGAAACCCCGTTTTTGAAAGAGTCGCTCTCGACCGTTTGCAGGTCACTTCTTACGTGGTCCAGCGGAAATATTTGTAAGTTAGCTCTTTATATCGAAAGGTACAGCGGAAATATTTGTAAGTTAGCTCTTTATATCGAAAGGTACAGCGGAAATATTTGTAAGTTAGCTCTTTATGTCGGAAGGTTCAGCGGAAATATTTGTAAGTTAGCTCTTTATGTCGGAAGGTACAGCGAAAATATTTGTAAGTTAGCTCTTTATGTCGGAAGGTTCAGCGGAAATATTTGTAAGTTAGCTCTTTATATCGGAAGGTCCAGCGGAAATATTTGTAAATTAGCTCTTTATATCGGAATGGACAACGAAAATATTTGTAAGTTAGCTCTTTATATCGGAAGGTTCAGCGGAAATATTTGTAAGTTAGCTCTTTATATCGGAAGGTTCATGCGGAAATATTTGTAAGTCTTTTCGTTTTCTATATATTAGAAGCTCCAGCGGAAATAGTATAGTTGTAAGTCTTTTCGTTTTCTGTAAGTTAGCGCTTCATATCGGTAGGTTCAGCGGATATATCTGCAGTCTGGACTATGGCTTCAAATATACACTATGACAATTTACGACGTCGGACTGTTAATATTTACGACATCGGTCTGTGAATGTTGATGACGTGAGACTGTGAATGTTGATGACGTGGGACTGTGAATGTTGATGACGTGAGACTGTGGATGTTGATGACGTGGGACTGTGAATGTTGATGACGTGGGACTGTGAATGTTGATGACGTGGGACTGTGAATGTTGATGACGTGAGACTGTGAATTTCTGCTTTAAACCGCTCTTATTGTGTCCCAGAACATCAATCAGTGGCCCCATCACGTCTATTGTCGCCAAAGGAAAGTTCAAATTTGGGATGACGGTGTTTATGCCGGTGTCGTTCCACTCAACTGCCAGTTTCCTGGCCATACCAGCTTCCGGTTGGGGCGCGGAGTACTTTATTCTGATACCAAAGTAAGTCTTGTTTTGTTTCGTCACACAATAATTTGTTCTGGTACCAAAGTAAGTCTTGTTTTGTTTCGTCACACAATAATTTGTTCTGGTACCAAAGTAAGTCTTATTTTGTTTCATCACACAATAATTTGTTCTGGTACCAAAGTAAGTCTTGTTTTGTTTCATCACACAATAATTTGTTCTGGTACCAAAGTAAGTCTTGTTTTGTTTCATCACACAATAATTTGTTCTGGTACCAAAGTAAGTCTTATTTTGTTTCATCACACAATAATTTGTTCTGGTACCAAAGTAAGTCTTGTTTTGTTTCATCACACAATAATTTGTTCTGGTACCAAAGTAAGTCTTGTTTTGTTTCATCACACAATAATTTGTTCTGGTACCAAAGTAAGTCTTGTTTTGTTTCATCACACAATAATTTGTTCTGGTACCAAAGTAAGTCTTGTTTTGTTTCATTACACAATAATTTGTTCTGGCACCAAAGTAAGTCTTGTTTTGTTTCGTCACATCAATGATCAAAGCTACTATGATCAAAGCCACTATGGTCTAACCACCAATGATCAAAGCCACTATGGTCTAACCACCAATGATCAAAGCCACTATGGTCTAACCACCAATGATCAAAGCCTCTATGGTCTAACCACCAATGATCAAAGCCTCTATGGTCTCACCATCCATGATCAAAGCCACTATGGTCTAACCACAACCACCAATGATCAAAGCCTCTATGGTCTAACCACCAATGATCAAAGCCTCTATGGTCTCACCATCAATGATCAAAGCCACTATGGTCTAACCACCAATGATCAAAGCCACTATGGTCTAACCACCAATGATCAAAGCCTCTATGGTCTAACCACCAATGATCAAAGCCACTATGGTCTAACCACCAATGATCAAAGCCTCTATGGTCTCACCACCAATGATCAAAGCCACTATGGTCTAACCACCAATGATCAAAGCCACTATGGTCTAACCACCAATGATCAAAGCCACTATGGTCTAACCACCAATGATCAAAGCCACTATGGTCTAACCACCAATGATCAAAGCCACTATGGTCTAACCACCAATGATCAAAGCCACTATGGTCTAACCATCAATGATCAAAGCCACTATGGTCTAACCATCAATGATCAAAGCCACTATGGTCTAACCACCAATGATCAAAGCCACTATGGTCTAACCACCAATGATCAAAGCCACTATGGTCTAACCACCAATGATCAAAGCCACTATGGTCAGAGAACATATGGATAAAGGTCGTAGTACAAAGAAACTGTTTTTGACTATTCTTTAAACAGTACTGTATTATAATATTGCTTTAAAAAATAAATTTTATATCAATGAAAAGATCAGTTCGAAGTTTAGAATTGCCTTAAAAAAACCAAAATAATAAACTCAATTTTTGACCTTGATACATGACCATTTCATACCGTGATATCGTCTCCCCTACTCTACAGACTCTAACCATACCCTACCATCCCCACTCTGTATTGCATACTTAAATGATTTACGAAAACGTTAACTGGTGTTCATTTCTAACAGGATGGGGCATTTAATTGGGTACATTTTATTTATTTCCAATCTTAGCTTAAAGTGGAAGCGTGACGTCATCAATCGCTGGCAGACGTCATTCTCCAGAATTCAACCAGGTACCCACTACATATCGCCTGTAAAGGGGTCGTACAATAGAAGTAAGTTCTGACTCTTGGGTTAGTGTTAGAGTTAAGGTCTGACTCTTTATTTAGTGTTAGAGTTAATTCAGACTCTTTATTTAGTGTTAGAGTTAAGGTCTGACTCTTTATTTAGTGTTAGAGTTAAGATCTGACTCTTTGGTTAGTGTTAGAGTTACGTTCTGACTCTTGGGTTAGTGTTAGAGTTAAGGTCTGACTCTTTGGTTAGTGTTAGAGTTAAGGTCTGACTCTTTATTTAGTGTTAGAGTTAAGGTCTGACTCTTTAGTTAGTGTTAGAGTTAAGGTCTGTCTTTTGGGTTAGTGTTAGAGTTAAGGTCTGACTTTTGGGTTAGTGTTAGAGTTAAGGTCTGACTCTTTGGTTAGTTTTAGAGTTAAGTTCTGACTCTTGGGTTAGTGTTAGAGTTAAGGTCTGACTCTTTAGTTAGTTTAACGGTTAAGGTCTGACTCTTGGGTAATCGTTAGAGTTAAGGTCTGACTCTTTAGTTAGTGTTAGAGTTAAGGTCTGACTCTTTGGTTAGTGTTAGAGTTAAGGTCTGACTCTTGGGTTAGTGTTAGAGTTAAGGTCTGACTCTTTGGTTAGTGTTAGAGTTAAGGTCTGACTCTTTATTTAGTGTTAGAGTTAAGGTCTGACTCTTTAGTTAGTGTTAGAGTTAAGGTCTGTCTCTTGGATTAGTGTTATAGTTAAGGTCTGTCTTTTGGGTTAGTGTTAAAGTTAAGATCTGACTCTGTGGTTAGTAGAGTTAAGGTCTGACATTTGGGTTAGTGTTAGAGTTAAGGTCTGACTTTTGGGTTAGTGTTAGATGTAAGGTCTGACTTTTGGGTTAGTGATAGAGTTAAGGTCTGACTTTTGGGTTATTGTTAGAGTTAAGGTCTGACTTTTGGGTTAGTGTTAGAGTTAAGGTCTGACTTTTGGGTTAGTGTTAGAGTTAAGGTCTGACTTTTGTGTTAGTGTTAGAGTTAAGGTCTGACTTTTGGGTTAGTGTTAGAGTTAAGATCTTTCTCTAGGGTTAGTGTTAGAGTTAAGGTCTGACTCTTGGGTTAGTGTTAGAGTTAAGGTCTGACTTTTGGGTTAGTGTTAGAGTTAAGGTCTGACTTTTGGGTTAGTGTTAGAGTTAAGGTCTGACTTTTGGGTTAGTGTTAGAGTTAAGGTCTGACTTTTGGGTTATTGTAAGAAGTCAGTGCTGACTCTAGGGTTAGAGTTAGAGTTAAGGTCTGGCTCTTTAGTTAGTGTTAGAGTTAAGGTCTGACTCTTGGGTTACTGTTAGAGTTAAGGTCTTTTTCTTTAGTTAGTGTTAGAGTTAAGGTCTGACTTTTGGGTTAGTGTTAGAGTTAAGGTCTGACTTTTGGGTTAATGTAAGAAGTAAGTGCTGACTCTTGTGTTAGTGTTAGAGTTAAGGTCATGAACCCTGAAACGTTCAATATTAACTTAAATGGTGATAAAATCTTTAGTGGAAGGCAGGCAAGGGTCAGGGTTGTAATGAAAAAAATATTTAAAAACTAGTTTTCAACTAAAAGGGCAATAGCTCCATATTTACAGAGAGAAATATAAGTAGTAAATTATGTGATATTTATAGTTTTCAAAAGTTGCCAAACGTGTATAGATATGACAAATATATCCATAATAAAGTTGAGATATTGTTGCTTGCATACTCGTTTTTCAGACATGCTATTTGCATTTCATGATTGATGTTTGTATGTCTCAAAACGTGCTGTTTGTTTCAGTCTTCATGTTTGTGTGTTTCAGTCTTGCTGTTTGTACGTTTCAGTCTTGCTGATTGTATGTTTCAGTCTTGCTGTTTGTATGTTTCAGACTTGCTGTTTCTATGTTTCAGTCTTGCTGTTTGTATTTTTCAGTCTTGCTGTTTGTACGTTTCAGTCTTGCTGATTATATGTTTCAGTCTTGCTGTTTGTATGTTTCAGACTTGCTGATTGTATGTGTCAGTCTTGCTGTTTGTATTTTCAGATTGCTGTTTGTATTTTCAGACTTGCTGTTTGTATTTTCAGTCTTGCTGTTTGTATTTTCAGACTTGCTGTTTGTATTTTCAGTCTTGCTGTTTGTATTTTCAGACTTGCTGTTTGTATTTTTCAGTCTTGCTGTTTCTACGTTTTAGTCTTGCTGATTGTATGTTTCAGTCTTGCTGTTTGTATGTTTCAGACTTGCTGATTGTATGTTTCAGTCTTGCTGTTTGTATTTTCAGATTGCTGTTTGTATTTTCAGACTTGCTGTTTGTATTTTCAGACTTGCTGTTTGTATTTTCAGACTTGCTGTTTGTATTTTCAGACTTGCTGTTTGTATTTTCAGACTTGCTGTTTGTATTTTCAGACTTGCTGTTTGTATTTTCAGACTTGTTGTTTGTATTTTCAGACTTGCTGTTTGTATTTTCAGACTTGCTGTTTGTATTTTCAGACTTGCTGTTTGTATTTTCAGACTTGCTGTTTGTATTTTCAGACTTGCTGTTTGTATTTTCAGACTTGCTGTTTGTATTTTCAGACTTGTTGTTTGTATTTTCAGTTTTGCTGTTTGTATTTTCAGACTTGCTGTTTGTATTTTCAGACTTGCTGATTGTATGTTTCAGACTTGCTGTTTGTATAATTCAGAGTTGATGTTTGTATGTTTCAGACTTGCTGTTTGAATAATTCAGAGTTGATGTTTGTATGTTTCAGACTTGCTGTTTGAATAATTCAGAGTTGATGTTTGTATGTTTCAGACTTGCTGTCCGGCAGTTGTCAGGCTGTATTTACCCGAGCCCAAAAGAACGAGAACAAGTTCGAGAACTTGAAAGACGAGATCCGCCCCCTGATCGAGGCGGGTTTCACGTGGAAGGACACCTTCACCCAGTACACGCTCCAGAACGTCCTGCTCGCTTTCAGCCGTGGGCTGAGCTTCAACAGACGCCTGAGTGAGGCTGGGCTGGTCGACGCTAGGGACGGGCCTGACGTAGACGTAGAGAACAATAGAGATGAGATTGTACAAGTCCATAAATATTCCGACAAGCCCACTGGTCTATTCAACCGGCACATGTACTACAATCTACCCGAGACAGAGTACCAACGAGCGTCCATCTACAGGAATCTACCAACAGAAAGCTTACCCCCTATTCCAGAAGAATCCACCAACTTGTGTGAGTACGATATCATTGACCACAACTTAGAGGTATACTTACACGTTGGGGATTCGAGCTAAGAACTATATTTCATCGCTTCGAGTTATATATATATATATATATATATATATATATATATATATATATATATATATATATAAACATACACATACACATACACATACACATACACGTACACGTACACGTACACGTACACTTACACGTTCACATACACGTACACGTACACATACACACACGCATACGCACAAGCACATAGGCGTAAATAAAATATTTTTTAAACTTCTAAATTTCTGTTCTTTTTAAATAGGAACGAACTTTTTACTAATTCAAACTAATTGTTGCTTACAATTAATTGTAAACCGTATTGTCTTACAGCATGGGAGTCTGGCTTGCTAATGGTCCTCTTCAGTCAAAACAAAATTATACAGGTGTGTGAAAGTCTGATAGATGTGTGTCTTTGTTGATGTGTGGATGTTTGGATGTCTTTGTTGATAGGTGAATGTTTGGGTCGCTGTCTTTGTTGATGGGTGGATGCTTGGGTGTCTTTGTTAATGGGTGGATGTTTGGATCGGTGTCTTTGTTGATGGGTGGATGTTTGGATCAGTGTCTTTGTTGATGGGTGGATGTTTGGGTCGGTGTTTTTGTTGAAGGGTGGATGTTTGGGTGTCTTTGTTGATGGGTGGATGTTTGGGTCGGTGTCTTTGTTGATGGGTAGATGTTTGGGTGTCTTTGTTGATTGGTGGATGTTTGGGTGTCTTTGTTGATGGGTGGAAGTTTGGGTGTCTTTGTTGATTGGTGGATGTTTGGATCAGCGTCTTTGTTGATGGGTGGATGTTTGGGTCGGTGTCTTTGTTGAAGGGTGGATGTTTGGGTCGGTGTCTTTGTTGATGGGTGGATGTTTGGGTCGGTGTCTTTGTTGATGGGTAGATGTTTGGGTGTCTTTGTTGATGGATGGATGTTTGGGTCGGTGTCTTTGTTGATGGGTGGATGTTTGAGTCGTTGTCTTTGTTGATTGGTGGATGTTTGGGTGTCTTTGTTGATGGGTGGATGTTTGGGTGTCTTTGTTGATTGGTGGATGTTTGGATCAGCGTCTTTGTTGATGGGTGGATGTTTGAGTCGTTGTCTTTGTTGATTGGTGGATGTTTGGGTGTCTTTGTTGATGGGTGGATGTTTCGGTCGGTGTCTTTGTTGATTGGTGGATGTTTGGGTGTCTTTGTTGATGGGTGGATGTTTGGGTCGTTGTCTTTGTTGATGGGTGGATGTTTGGGTCGTTGTCTTTGTTGATGGGTGGATGTTTGGGTCTGTTTGTGGATGGGTGGATGTTTGGGTGTCTTTGTTGATGGGTGGATGTTTGGGTGTCTTTGTTGATGGGTGGATGTTTGGGTGTCTTTGTTGATGGGTGGATGTTTGGGTGTCTTTGTTGATGGGTGGATGTTTGGGTGTCTTTGTTGATGGGTGGATGTTTGGGTCGGTGTCTTTGTTGATGGGTGGATGTTTCCGTGTCTTTGTTGATGGGTGGATGTTTGGGTGTCTTTGTTGATGGGTGGATGTTTGGGTGTCTTTGTTGATGGGTGGATGTTTGGATCGGTGTCTTTGTTGATGGGTGGATGTTCGGGTCGGTGTCTTTGTTGATGGGTGGATGTTTCCGTGTCTTTGTTGATGGGTGGATGTTTGGGTGTCTTTGTTGATGGGTGGATGTTTGGGTGTCTTTGTTGATGGGTGGATGTTTGGGTCGGTGTCTTTGTTGAAGGGTGGATGTTTGGGTGTCTTTGTTGATGGGTGGATGTTTGGGTGTCTTTGTTGATGGGTGGATGTTTGGGTGTCTTTGTTGATGGGTGGATGTTTGTGTGTCTTTGTTGATGGGTGGATGTTTGGGTCGGTGTCTTTATTGATGGGTGGATGTTTGGGTCGGTGTCTTTGTTGATGGGTTGATGTTTGGGTGTCTTTGTTGATGGGTGGATGTTTGGGTGTCTTTATTGATGGGTGGATGTTTGGTTGTCTTTGTTGATGGGTGGATGTTTGGGTCGGTGTCTTTGTTGAAGGGTGGATGTTTGGGTCGTTGTCTTTGTTAATAGGTGGATGTTTGGGTCGGTGTCTTTGTTGATGGGTGGATGTTTGGGTCGGTGTCTTTGTTGATGGGTGGATGTTTGGGTCGGTGTCTTTGTTGATGGGTTGATGTTTGGGTGTCTTTGTTGATTGGTGGATGTTTGAGTCGTTGTCTTTGTTGATGGGTGGATGTTTGGGTGTCTTTGTTGATGGGTGGATGTTTGGGTGTCTTTGTTGATGGGTGTATGTTTGGGTCGGTGTCTTTATTGATTGGTGGATGTTTGGGTGTCTTTGTTGATGGGTGGATGTTTGGGTCGGTGTCTTTGTTGATGGGTGGATGTTTGGGTCGGTGTCTTTGTTGATGGGTGGATGTTTGGGTCGGTGTTTTTGTTGAAGGGTGGATGTTTGGGTGTCTTTGTTGATGGGTGGATGTTTGGGTCGGTGTCTTTGTTGATGGGTGGATGTTTGTGTGTCTTTGTTGATGGGTGGATGTTTGAATCGGTGCCTTGGTGATGGGTGGCTGGATCGATCGAAGTTTTGTTATGGAATCTAATTTATAAGTTAATACATAGCTGACAGGGTAGGTGGGTTGTAGGTTGGGCTGGGATGGTTGGGTTGGGTGTGTGGGAGGTTGGGTTGGGTTGGGTTGGGTGGGAGGTGGGCTGCTGGCTGGGTGACTAATGTTTAACATTTTCATAACAGATCTTGTTAGTTCTGTGTTCTGTTGCATCGAATACTGCAGCACACAATTCATCCTGCGCAGATGATAAACACGTAGATGTCTGGAACAACGAACAAAAAATGTGGCTTGACCTAAGACGAACTGGAGCAGAACCCAGTATTATTCTAAACCTCTCAACTGTCTTATATGCGGTGATGATAAACATTGTTCTAATAGCTTTGTGTAAGTTACCATTTATTTTTATAATTACAATTTTTTTATGACCTCGGCATATGATAGGATGGTTTGCCCTAAGCCTAGCCGTCTTTACTTTCAGCGAGTCC